CGCGCCCCCCTCCGCCCCGCGTCCTGCCGGGCCGCCCGCCGAGGGGCGCCGCGGCTGTCGGAACGAGGCCCGCTCTTCGAGGGCCGAGCCTCCATCTTGAGTGAGGGGCTCCGGGCAGCGCGAGGATCGGGGGCGCCCCGCCGACGGGGGCGCCCCGGGAGCTCGAGCCCGCGCACCTGGAGCAGGCCTCGCGCCGCCGCCCGCGACCCCGCGAGCCCGGGGAGCCTGGCGTCCCGTCGTGACCGCCTCCGCGCGGGGCGTCCCGCTCTTCAGCCGCGCGACGGAGCCGGACCGAGATGAAATCGACTGTGGCAAGGCCGTGGCTGCTTTGACGGAGCGAGTTTTTATTTTTCTTCTGCGCCAGCGTCTTCTTTGGTCCTCCCTTTAAAATAAAACTTAAAATAGCGAGCTCCTCTCAGGCGTTGCTCTGCGCGAGTGAGATGCGTGAGGGTTGGGTGGGTCTCTTCAGAGAATGAAGAAGCCGGTCGTTATTTACACGGCCGCTGAACAGATGAAAACTTAATTAGCGTGCCTGTCCTAAAACATAGGCATAAATTTCCCCAGGCCTTTTGCATAACGCCACATCTTTGCTTATGAAAAATGGGACGCAAGCAGCTCGCTGCACATTTCTCTGATTGTCCAGGACCTGGGCTGCTGACACGCATTCGATCAACTTTAAAAGAATGCGCATAAATCAACGAGCCCCTAATGTCTCCTCCGTGGAGCTCTGTAGGCCCAGACGAGCGCCTCTGAACCCACCAGGTCTGGGGATTAGCAGTCCCGGGCAGCCTCTACCCAGGCTCGGGACGAGGGAATTCGCAGCAAGAAAGGGAGATAGCGCATCTTCACCCAGCCCTCGAAGCACACGGAGCAGGGTAACGAGCCGTGTCTACTGTACAGTGAAATCCGACCACCCGTACCCAAGTATGGCCCTCAGCAGGATTTCCTTGCTGCCTCCTGGTGAATTCATCCGAAAACATTTCAATTAGGTTGAATCTTAAAAAAGGAAAACAAAAAGAAAGAAAGAAAAGAGTAATTTCCTTTTTCCAACTTGCTTAACAAATTTTCTTTCTTTTCTGTTAAAACAACAACAAAGCCAATTTAAATGAATGGCTTCAACTCTGCGTCAGGAAGAAATAGTTGTGAAATACACAGTGACATTTTACAGTCAACCACTTAAGTTAATAAATTTGACAGTATTAAGAGCAGATGGGGAAAGTCCTATATTTATAATTTTTTTTTTTTTTTTTTTTTTTTTTTTTTGTCCAGGAACAGTTTCCTTTAAAAAAAAAAAAAAACACAACACAAATACTTGAGTCAGGTTTTAAACCACACTATTCATGGGTTAGTGACTTGCATTATTACTTTTATTTTTAAGAGGAGCCTGGTGTTCCCCTAGATGTCTTTGTTCTACTGGTTTTAGGCATTAGGGAGCCATTATAATCCAAGTCCACCTCAGTTTATCTGGTTGCTCTATGGACCCTTTCAGTATGAAAGGAATTAGGTAAGACATTATACTATCAACAACCATTTTAGAACTGGGGTGGGAAGTGCTGCTGATATATTTCTGTTCTTACTATTTCAAAGACTGGAGAGAAAAAAAGAAGGCCACTACATTACCCAAGGTTCTTGCAGTGGTGATAGCTTTTGAAGGGGCCATATTCTGGCTGCGGAGCTGCTGTTGGCCTCTTTTCTAGGCCTGAGGCTCAGACTATTTCTTACATCTAAAGAAAAATATCTCTATCAACAGAAGAGTCCTCTTCAGAGCCATCTGTAAGCACACTGGCCCACATATTGGGATTTTCCACCACGTCAAACGTTTTGAGAGAAAGTCCTTACTTTGGCTTGATGATAGTTCTTTTACAAATGGAACTGTGGAACAAGATGTGGGGAGGCAGATCTGAAGTAGCATTTTCATTTCTTTCCACAAGTGAAGTGAAAATCCTCAGGGCAGCAAAATATGATTGCACTCCCAGGACCACTGGATACATATGGCTCAGGACCCGGGTTTTTTTTTTTGAAATAGCTTTAGATTTTTCCCCATAATTCTTCATCTATAAAATTTGCAGTCTTTAGGCAAGCTGAGAGAGATTTCCATCAGCCAAGTTTGTAGCCAACCAATATTATTTTCCACCAAATGATGAACCAAGTTCTTCTATTCACTCTTTCTTCCAGCATAAAAAAAATCTGCATCTGATAATTACACATCTCCAGGTTACTGGTTCCACCAGCATTGTAATGCATGTGTTCATATCATGAATTTGACAAAAAACACATAACCCTATGTGTTTATTAAATATATAAATATACATATGTATTATTTATGACTCTGAACTCAGCACCTGATGTATTGTTAGGGGTCAATAAACAGTACATATAAAAATTTATCATTATTATAGTTTTGATGGTGGTTGTTAATATTAAACGTATTTATTTCTCCCACAAATCAAATGGCACATTTGGAAGCATCAATGTAAGATTGCATACCACCCCGGAGTAACAGTTAGCTCTGGGCTACCCAGGACAACTCCCCCTCACATACATATTATGGTCATTTTGTAGATATGAGATATTTAAGTTCTCCTTACTGACCTCTTTAGAGGTGAGTTTCTTTGAATTTCTGAAATGTAACTCTAGAACTCTAGAGTTAGCAAGGCATCTGAAACTTTTTACTTGCCGTTAAGACTCCCTGATAGCTCTAATTAGGGTAGTAGACCACCTTGAAGGGTGAGGAGGAAAGTGGTTATTTAAGAACATCTCTTGGACTGTAACAAAAATGTACAGCTTAAAAGCAGATCTGCAGAAATCTGAGCTGCTGTGAAGACAAATCAAATTGGTCATTAAAGAAAAGGAGCAAAGCAACATCATGCAAAGTACATTTTGTGCCTCTGCTCTAGAAATCACCTTAAATTATAATGTTACGCATCATCAGCAATTAATGGTACTATATCTGTACAGATTCTCTAATTATATATACAAGCACACACAAGCACTGATATGCAAATGTATACATGTATACACATATATGATATATATTCACATATATACAGGCACATGTATAATTTACATATATTCAAATTTGCTCCATTTGGAGCCAAATAAATGAATACTAAATCTCTAAAATAACAAGTCAAGGTTAAGAATTCTTGATTCCCTTGAACCTGAAGAATTACAAGGAGGCTTGTCAACACCAGGTGGCGCCCTTGATCTACTAATCCAGCTCAGGCCAATTCATGAGCTGTCAAAAGTCAAGGTCACAAATTGTCTTTTTTCTTCAAGGTCAAGGTTTAAGGCCTTTCCTAGTCCTGTCATTTCAACAAATATCAAAACCTGCCCTTTCAGACACATTCAGACCCAGCAGCAGATTTTAAAATACGACAGCCTAAGCATTGCTGATACTAAGCAACTGGTTTTTATTTTCAACAGGGAGCCTGGGAATTTATACTATCTCTTTCTCCTTTCTTTCCTTTCCCTTTCACCTGACACTTTTGTCTCCTTAAAGCACTTATCATTTACAGAATTTTAGCTATGAAAGATTTATCCCTTTTCTTTTAAAAAAAAATTAACCCCTCCAAAAACTGAGTAATAGAAAAGAACAGTTCTTGGTTTGTATGAGACAAACCTGTTCCTTTTCCGTGCAGGGCACATTTAGCAAAGGAAAGTAACGAGTGTTTCCTTCGGATTTTAATGGCAGTGACTATTTTATTAACAGAATTAATACCACTGTATCACACTATCTACAGGTCTAAATTTTCCATTTTTAATAGAAATATTTAAAAAGCAGGTGCACAAATACATTTTCACAGTGTGCTGAATGTCTTTATTTACAAAATAGTATTTTAAAGTGAGTATGAATAAAACAAATGTGCTGGTTGCGATAACTGCTTGATTAAAAATGTGCTGTGAGGATGAATTCTTAAACTTTCTAATGCAATCTTATAACACAATAAACAAGGAAAACACTAGTTCCTTAAAAGACCAAAAAATAGGATGTCAACATCTAAATATTTTGGAGGAATAAATTTCCATTCTGAATTTTCTAAAAACTAAAAACAAGAAAATTAATTTTCAGCAAAATATTTAGCAAATATTGGAAAATACTAATTTAGATGAAAAAACAAATTATATCAAAACCAAGGTCCATCATATTGGGGTGGGACCTCCTGGGGAATATGTCATAAAAGGAATCCTGCAGATTATGTTGACTGAAATGTTTTTTTAAAAAACACTCAATTCTCAGGAAAATCACTGATCATGCGGTAGTCCAAATGCCAAAATATGCTTGTTATAAGCAACTAAAAATTATTCTCAGAAGGACATTATCAACCTGGAATTCCTTTGTAGTCTCAAAGGTTTATGCTGGTTGTATTTGCTATGAAGATATATGATCTTCAGAAGAGCTCTCCTTTCTCTCTTCAGAGTAAATAGTTCTAGATTATTTCAGTACCTTCTCTTTCCCCCTTCTAAGCCTATACGTGAAACATTTCAGAACATACAACAGAGGAATTTCACTAAGATTTACCTGAGCAGACAACATGCAAAGGGATGGCGACGTGAGCAGGACAAGCAGATGCTTACAACAGCCACTTGCTTTTGTAACCAACTTTCGAATTATTACCATCTAACATAGCATCCTAAAATACAACGGTCACATAAATACTTACAAGATTTCAGTAAATGTGTAACTTATCTGAAATTGCGTATTTAGGGGTTGACGTTTGACTCTAGAGTTTTGTCATGTAACGGTCTGGTGGGGTTGGCGGGAGAACCGGCGGTCTTTATCATTTCTTAAAGTTTTTAAAAAGTTGTAGATTCCATTACAGAGAAAGAGATTCTCCCCTGCAGAGAGCCAAATGCCAATGTCTTTCTTTCCATTTTTTCAGTTATTACGAAGTGTTGTTATTATCTGGGCAAAGCAATGAGTTCTGAAGCATTTCTTCAAGTTCCCTCTGCTCCATAATTAATCCATTAACTAGTGGTCTTCAGTTTGTTGATGACTTTTTTCTCTTTGACCCTTCTGTTCTGGAACCATATTGTGACCTGCCGTTCAGAGAGGTTCGTTGTCGCTGATATCCTTCTCCGTTTGTCCTTGGTAATGAATTTGTTCGTGGCATATTCGCGTTCCAGTTCTTTTAATTGCACCTTGGTGTAAGGCACGCGCTTCTTTCTCCCTCTTCTATAGGAGCTGGCATCCGAGGGATGGGAGACCACGTCTGGAAAACAGGACAAGGCAAATTATACATGGGTCAGAAGGGTCCACGACACAGACGACAGCTCAATTGGACCCACGCGCCGGACCGGCTGCTCTTTGCTATACACTGTGCAATCCGGCCTTCTGCCAAAGCTTCAAGGACTGGGGGAGAGGGTAGTTAGTTTTGCACCGAAATGAAATAGCCCAGAGCTCCAGTGATCACCGGAACCGGGTTATCCTGCATGCCCGGCGCGCCTGTTTCCCTCCGTCTCCTGACCCAGCTGCCCACACCTTAGCGCCTGACTCAGGGCACGACACTCCTGTGCCTGGCTCCTCCGGGTTTGCCCCAAGCCCCAACACTGGATGCTTCACCAGTGAAACCATTTTTTGAGAGTGAATAGTGGCAATTTGATGAGCCAAACAGCGGATCAATTTCTCAGTTTCGGTCAGTGTCAAGGGCTGCGGAGGGCGGGGCGCAGAGGGAGAGGAAAGCTAGCTGGGGTCCCCACAAGCTCCCTCCCGGTAACACTTCACCCAAGGAGGGCCAAGGGCCAGCTCAACTTAGGGTAATGCAGACAGCGCCAGCCAGCCAGGATCAGGGTCCCATGGGTGCAGCCCCACTGGGGCTGCAAAGGGAGAGCAGAAGGCCACCCGGATGACCCCGGGCGTGAGAGGAGAAGCTGGAGCAGAGCCGGAAGACCAAGGCTGGAAAGGGGGCGCCATTTACCGGGCAGAGTGGATTTCCAGAGGTGGGGAGGCTGCGCCTGCTCTTTGGGGCAGTACATTTGGCCGTTCCAGCCGTTGGGTAGCGCCCAGGGCTGGTAGCTTTCCATGGGAAGACCCAGGGGCTCGTGGCGAGACTCGCCGGGGCCCCCGAGCCCCGGGACCACCGGCATATCCAGGTAGCCAGGCACGGGCTGGTGGTGGTGGTAAGGCCCGGCCGCGTAGCCCTGGTGGTAGAAGGCGAACTCCTTAGCGCGGGAGCTGAACTCCTCGGCCGCGGGGCCGGCGGTGTCCATGTACTTGTCCGCGAAGGCGGCAGCAGCGGCGGCCGAAGCGGGCTGCGCGCAAGACTTGATGGCGTTGGGGTGCGGGCCCATGCGGGCGCACGGGTAGTAGCCGCTGCCGAAGTAGCCGTAGGGCAGCGCCGCGGGCCCCGACGAGCTCTGCGCCGCGGCGGAGCAGGGGCTGCACTGCTTGGCGGCCTCGGCGCCCGGGGGCCCCGCGGAGCCG